ATGGCCTACCACTAAAATAACGAAACATATATTACAAATAAAATGTTATAATCAATGTAAAGAAGAGATGTAGTGTCATTTTCTTGAATGAATAACTTGCTAAATATAGGAAAGTCATCCCAGCTTAACATAATTTTCAACAAAGGTGTTTTTCAGTGTTGAGTTTCGTAAAACCAAAACCAGAGTAATCACTCTGGCCAATAACATAAGGACACAGACAATCCAATGAACCAATCAAAACTCGAAGCAAATACGTGTAGCTGACGCGATGCGCGGGAAAACGTGTGTGGGAGATTGAGATCCTCACGTCATGTGACCGCGTGTTGATGGTAGTCGATAATTATCCGCCAATCCCGAGAGGAGGGAAGGAGGAATGCCATGCTATAGGGTCGGAAAATTTAAATTATACCCCAAAAGGATACCAATATACGCGTGGCTCAGCTTAATTTGACTCTCTGAGAGATACCACTTCAAAACAGTCAACCAAAGAATAGCTACAGTGACTTAAATGACACTAAAAAACTGAATCATCGAATCCTTTCATTTGTGACGAGTTTTTAAAGATTTCGTTTCAGATCGATCTGACCATCAACAACGTATAATCGTGCTTTGTACTTATTTCTTCTAATACAACCCTAATCACCCCCTTCCCCATGGTAACGAGTTTGTCTTCTTCGTTTTCCCTTAGACTGTTCATATAAGGCGCCCTCTGCACTACGCCCGAGGATTTTTAAAACACAGCCTCGATCATTTCTGTAGTTACGCCTACTGTCCACACTAATCCCTCACGAAAACGGATCGTTTCAAAAACAATCTTCAAAGAGGAGGCATTTAAAACACGGGCTTTTCGTTTTATCTGAAAACGAAGCTTTTGGAAGACGATGACGTCACGATGATCATGTGATTTCCCTGCCAGAGATTTCCTCAAATACAAATCCAAGGTGACCGGTGATTGTTGCGTTTTCAAATTTCTCCGGCGTAGTGTAGAATGGGCGGCCCAAGATGAAGTATGCTACGTTTTCAGCTCAAAGTTGGCCCGCGTATTATTGATTAGTTGTTATCCCGATAAACCACCTCGTGTGAACTGATAACCTTAAAAGAGTGATTAAATATTCATGTACTTCTGTGCTAGACTCAGTCCTGTAACCATTAAAAACTATTAAGTTTCCGTGTTCTTTATCACACACACTTATCCATCTCGACCAGAATGCGTGTTCAGAGAGCGTACGATTAATAACCTGAGGCTTCGTCCTATTTTGTCAGGCATCCGAGTTTTCTTTTCTTTTTCTTTCTTTCTTTTTTCTTTTTTTTTATCCAGTTATTGTCGAATTGGACAACACGTACCGTGTTGTTCAAAAGTAGCCGGTTACAAT